CCGGGAGTTCCCTCCTCGTTATTTGCCTGCAAGGGCCGGGCGCCTTCGGTTTCTCCCAGCTGCCTGCGTGGGTTTCACCGAGCAGATGGCGTTTGGTGCCGCCTGTGCAGGTGTGCCGAAGGCCGCGGTGTTTTGGTGCCTGCGTTTTGCCTCTTGCAGTGTAGACTCATCAAACTCAGCGGCTCTGACTCTCAGTCAAACAGTGCTTGATCTTGGCAAAGGATGTGATTGAAACATTTCTAAAATTATAGATATATATTTAATGGGAAGTACCTCAGTTTCGGCCGAATTGCTTCGAGAAGAAGAATGTTTAACTATGCTGAGGAATGTGTAACGAGAGTCCTGAAGCTGGTGGTAGAAGTATAACAAACTCCAGTGGGAAATGGAGGAATTTTGTAACAATTGGAGGTAATTAGTAATGAGATCACAACTGGAGAATGGCAGATCTTTTAATTCAGGCCAGCTGAATTGCAGCACCTCTTCTATAGCCCATTACAAATCAGTGGGAACCGTAGTGTGATGTTCTGTAGCGTGGTATAGGTTGCTGAACTGAAGTCTTTGGGTTTTGATACAAGATAAACCATATTTTTCTGTGTCCCTGTTCTGAGATTTCCATCTTATTTCATGTTTAAAATGTGCCCAGGTCGTGTGATATGCAAGCTGCTCTGCTCTGGTGAGAAGGAGGTCGATCTGGCTGTGCAGAGTGCAAAGGCTGCCTTTAAAATATGGAGTCAGATGTCTGGCATGGAGCGAAGCAGGGTGCTGCTGGAGGCTGCCAGAATTATTCGGGTATGTTATGGGAGCTCACCTTCTTTTTTGGAGAAGGGTGATTCTGTCTCTGAGCTTTCTTTAATGTGTCTGTTGGGGGCTTCCAGCAGGAGTTCCAGAGCTTCAGGAGGAACACAGGACTTAAAACCCACCTTTGACTAGAAGAGACAGTAGGCTGCCTTGGGCAGGGCTTTAATCTTATCACTGTATTCAGTGCCAGTGTGTACCTCCTCTGCTTATCTGTTAGAAGCTATCCAGTCGACATCTTGCAGGGCTCATACTTCTTTTCACAGCTCCAAAGATTAAGCTTTGCTGCGTGTGACTTCAAAGCTGATATTGCATAACTATCATGTTGTTGAACTTTCAGCTCGTTGGACAGTGTTGTCACATGACTGCAGTGTGTCTTGTTTCAGCAATAAAAAAATTTAGGAATGCTGGCATTTATCTTAAACACCAGATAATACGCATGGGAAAGGATACGAATAAGCTAGCTTTATCACAGACTCCTTTGCGAGATAACGTGTTCTGGGACATGGGGAGTTAATCTCCGCCAAGGCACTAATCTGTAAGAAACCAGACCTTTTTTCACCAGTGTGTATATGTGACGAGAAAACTGTTTTCTTTCTGCCAAACTTCTGCTTTTGCCAGACTTTGGCAGCAGGGTAATATTTCTGCCTGGAAGATGGTCTGTTAAAGGATGCTTCCGGGCTGCATTGCTTTGTCTGTCCTTCCCTAAGTCCTCTTGTTCCATTTTGATCTTGCTGTTTGCTGTTATTCTCAATTTAGTTCTGTGAATTCTAATCATTGTTTGCCAGACAGCTTCTAAGTTCATGTTTGCTCATCTCTTACATAACCAGGGGTGTTAAGCAAGACTGGACCAGCCATGAACCCCAGCGGCTGTCTGTTTGATATTCCTCTGTGATTGGTTGCCACTGGGAAATTGATAAATAGCAATTGGGAATGTACTTTTTAGAGATGACAATTTCTCATGGCAGAGCCTGGCTTACTGATGGCAGAGTCTTGTTTGGGACTTGGGTGCTTGGAAGGCATCTATATCCTTGTGGAGTTCTACTGCAGGCTTCTCTAACATGTTGTCACTGTCCTTTGCCTCTCACAGGAGCAGAGAGAACAAATTGCCACCTTGGAAACCATCAACAATGGGAAATCCATCTTTGAAGCCAGAGTGGACATCGACATATCCTGGCAGTGCCTGGAGTATTACGCAGGACTGGCAGGATCTCTAGCTGGTGAGAATGTTACAGGAATTTGCTCTTTACTCTCTGTCCTGCCACTTGCATTCCCTGGTGACTTCCAGGGCACAAGACCATCTTTGCTGCTGATTTCTCTAAGAGATGGACTACTCCTTTTTCTGAAGATCTTGGAAGGATTTTCAGAGATCTCTACCTAATGCTGCCATGTCCGTGGGCACTTAGACACCTTCTGTGAGCTTGCTGGGGTAAAACCTGTGTGTCTCTGTTCCCAACCAAAGTGAGATCTGGCCCCTGAGGCTCTGATAAGACAGGAAGGGGCTTTGATCGTCTCTACCTACTGGCTGTTTCTTTTCTTTGCAGGGGAACACATCCAACTTCCTGGGGGATCCTTTGGGTACACTCGGAGAGAGCCCCTCGGAGTGTGTGTTGGGATTGGAGCCTGGAATTACCCTTTCCAGATTGCCTGCTGGAAGTCTGCCCCGGCCTTGGCTTGCGGTAATGGAGACTCTCTGCCCACGCAAGCTTCTCTTTGAGGCCAGATGATCCTGTGGGGAGTGATTTGGGGGATAAAGTCTAGGATTACCTTGAAGGAGGTAGCAGAACCTTCAGGCTGTTACTCAGGCAGGAATGGAAAGGAAATGGAAGTGGGAACACGGCAGATGCCAAGAGGGTGAGAGCACATCAGGAAAAAGGCTGATTGCTTGGCTTTGTACCCAGATGAGGAACATCTCTGGAAATGTCTGCAGTGCAGAACCAGCAGCCCCATCTCCCCTAGCCCTTCCCAGCAGGGAAACTTTGGCTGGTTGCAGTGTTCAGCTGAAACTATTTCCTCCTCTTGGAGGGGATCTTCTGGGATCTGTTGAGACAAACTCATTGTGTGAGGTGGGGTTTTTGGTTGGTTTGTTTGTTTTCTTGTTCTTTTCCCTAAAGCAGTTTGGGTATTAATCCCACCTTGCCTCTGTCTGGGTTCCCCTAGGCAATGCGATGGTCTTCAAGCCTTCTCCCTTCACCCCTGTTTCGGTGGTGAAGTTGGCAGAGATCTTCACAGAGGCCGGTGTGCCCAAGGGGCTCTTCAACGTGGTGCAGGGTGGAGCCGCCACAGGCCAGTTCCTCTGTCATCACCCAGACGTGGCCAAAATCTCTTTCACTGGCAGTGTGCCAACTGGCATCAAGGTAAAGGCACCTTCTTGCTCAGGGACACAAGGGGTCTGTAGTGCCAGTCTTCCTGGTATGTTCTGGACGTTGATAGCTCCTTGAGCTTTTGTGCTCAAGGCTTGTAAAGGTGGGATGTGAGTCTGCATTTTTGGGTCTGAACAAGGAGCTTGCATGTACAGGGTTACACTGGGGCTCCAGTTAGCCTACTGGGCATGGGCTTGGGCACTCGGTCCTTTCAAAGGAGCCCCTTGGTCATCTTCACTTGTTAGCCCCGAGTTGCTGTGAAGTCTCAGAGCTACTAAAGTGAGTATCTATGTGGGGAGGAGGGTATGTAAAACAGAGCAGCACTGGGAAAACGTGAGCATTTCTGGCAGTAATAGTTTGACTTAGCTGCCTACAACCTGCTGTTTTTAAGCAAGAGGTTAGTTTCTGTGAATTTTTTACCCTCAGTTTATTCTTCAAAAGTCCCTAAAAGGACTTTTTCAAATCAGAATTTATTTCTAAGAGGGGAAATGTTGCCCCTTGAATGCTCCCTGCATGTGTGTACCTGTGGGGTGCAGTGACACAGATGCAGTTACAGCTGTCCTGAGCTTACGCTGAGCACAAAAGTTCCTGCGAATGACTCCTCAGGTTTTGTTGGTTTTGTCTTTAAAAAAGCATAAACCCCAGACCCTCTGAGACTGTCCCCAGTCTGAACTAAACACGTCTAGGAAACCCAGCTTGCCCTTCCTGCTGCGTCTGTTGTTGGTGAAGGGCCTTGCAGGAACTCTCTTTTTGGGTCTCTCTTACCTCCTCCACCAGCCTCCCCTTTGCCAGTGGGTCACTTATCTCTTCTGTTCTTGTTTCCCTCAGATCATGGAGATGGCGGCTAAAGGGATCAAACCGGTCACCCTGGAGCTGGGGGGCAAATCCCCCCTTATTATCTTTTCGGACTGTACCCTGGAGAATGCCGTGAATGGAGCCCTTATGGCCAACTTCCTTACACAAGGCGAGGTGTGTATCCGTGGGGCAGGAGCAGTCCTGCCCAGTGAGGCAGGGTGGTTTGAGAATTGGGGAGCAGAGCCAGCCTGTGGCTTTGCATAATGAGGGATGCCCTGAAGCTCCCATCTTGCCATGCGTTTCCCTGTGCAGTGTCACAAGGGATCAGAAGCCAGTGCAGGGCATCTTAGCAGAGTGTGCCTTAGCCAATGCCCTGTCCTTCCCAGAAGCGGAGCCCCTCTAACACCCGGTACCCAGCTCAGAGCAGCTGCTCCTGCACCCGGGCCTCCAGTCTGGTGCACAGAGGTCAGAAGAAGCTGTGCTGGTGTCCTCTGGAGGGGCAGCCGGTTCCAGTCCAGTGTGCTGAGCCACAACCCCATGGGGCTCTGCAAGTCCCAAACTTGAGATCTCCACATGTGCTGCAGGTTTTGTGTAATCCTGCTGGCAAATTGGCGTACCGGGATCATCTCTGGGAACTGAAAAGTCAACTCAAGTTCTCTTCTGCTGGTGACTTCATGCGTTTCTGCCACCTGGTGGTATCAGTACCACTGTGTCCAGCACAGACTGTTCAGTGCAGTCATGAGCAGCAGGGTAATCTAGTCGTCTTTGTCCCCAGGGACAGGTTAGCTGTTCTAGCAGCCGTGAAGGGGCGTTTCTGAGAGCCTCTGTAGCAGGACTCAAGCAGGGAAGGACTGTGGAGTGCTGTGTGTCTTGTTCTGAGCAGCCTGTCCTGTATCCCAGGTGTGCTGCAACGGTACACGGGTCTTTGTGGAGAGGAAGATACTGGATGTCTTCACAAAGGAGGTGGTGAAACGCACCCAGAAAATCAAAATTGGAGACCCGCTTCTGGAAGACACACGGATGGGAGCACTTATCAACCGGCCCCACCTGGATCGTGTCCAGGGCTTTATCAAGCAGGCAAAGGAGCAGGTGAGATTGTGATGCTGCCTTGTGACTGCCCTGAAATCTCTCTCTCTTGTTAGACAAACAGACAGGCAGCTGCTTTCTAGCCCCATACCTTTCCAGTTAAGCTCTTGTTTTTGACACCCATGCTCAATGGGTGTCTTGCGCCACTAGATATGTAAGTCTATGAGATGCATCCCAGAGTCCCGAGGGAATTGGCTGATGTAGCTGCCAAGCTACTCTGTGATATTTGAAAAGTCACGGCAGTCAGGTGAAGTCCCTGGTGATTGGAAAAAGGGAAACACTGCACCCGTTTTTAAAAAGAGGTGGAAAGGAGGACCCTGGGAACTACCGACCTGTCAGCCTCACCTCTGTGCCTGGGAAGATCATGGAACAGATCCTCCTAGAAGCTGTGCTGAGGCACATGGAGGACAGGGAGGTGATTCGAAACAGCCAGCACAGCTTCACCAAGGGCAGGTCCTGCCTGACCAACCTAGTGGCCTTCGGTGATGGAGTGACTGCATCATTGGACAAGGGAAGAGCTACTGATGTCATCGATCTGGACTTCTGTAAGGCCTTTGACAGGGTCCCCCACAACATCCTTCTCTCTGAATTGGAGAGAGATGGATTTGATGAGTGGACTGTTGGGTGGATGAGGAATTGGTTGGATGGTTGCATCCAGGGGGTAGTGGTCAACGGCTCTTTATCCAGATGGAGATTGGTAACAAGTGGTGTCCCTCAGGGGTCTGTACTGGGACCAGCGCTGTTTAATATCTTCCTCAGTAACATAGCGGAATCAAGTGCACCCTCAGCAAGTTTGCAGGTGACACCAAGCTGAGTGGTGCAGCTGATGCCTGAGGGAAGGGATGCCATCCAGAGGGACCTGGACAAGCTTGAGAAATGGACCCATGTGAACCTCATGAGGCTGAACAAGGCCAAGTGCAAGGTCCTGCACCTGGGTCAGGGCAGCCCCAGGTACCAATACAGGCTGGGCGATGAAGGGATTGAGAGCAGCCCTGTGGAGAAGGACGGAGGGGTACTGGTGGATGAAAAGCTGGACATGAGCCAGCAATGTGCGCTTGCAGCCCAGACAGCCAACCGAATCCTGGGCTGCCTCAAAAGCAGCGTGACCAGCAGGTCAAGGGAGGGGATTCTGCCCCTCTACTCTGCTCTGGCGAGCCCTGCCCCCCGCATTTCTGCCTTCAGCTCTGGGGTCCTCAGCACAGGAGAGACGTGGCTCTGTTGGAGCGAGTCCAGAGGAGGGCCACAAAAATTATCAGAGGGATAGAACACCTCTCCAATGAAGAAGGGCTGAGAGAGTTGGGGTTGTTCAGCCTGGAGAAGAGAAGGCTCTGGGGAGACCTTATTGTGGCCTTTCAGTAATTAAAGGGGGCTTATAAAAAAAGATGGAGGGGGACTTTTTAGCCGAGCCTGTTGTGATAGGACAAGGGGTAATGGTTTTAAACTAAAAGAGGGCAAATTTAGACTACATATAAGGAAGAAATCTTTTACGATGAGGGTGGTGACACACTGGAACAGGAGAGGTGGTAGATGTATGTCATCCCTAGAAACATTCAAGGTCAGGTTGGACAGGGCTCTGAGCAACCTGCTCTAGTTGAAGATGTCCCTGCTCATTGCAGGGGGATTGGACTAGATGGCCTGTAAAGGTCCCTTCCAACCCAAACCATTTTATAATTAAAAGTGACCCAGTGCACATCTGTGACTCAGCATTGAAGTTGACGTGGCTTTTCATATCCTGATGTTGCCAAGTTTTAGAGGTTGTGAGATGCCCAGCATGGCAGTATGTAAAATGGGATAATCCATAATGTTTGGGCTGGTTCTAAGTTGTGGTGACAACTTGCACACTTGACTGTTATCTCATTTGGGTTCCAGTTTTGTTGGTTGGAGAAAGAACTTACTAAGGATCAAAGGCCAAATTTACAGGCTGCTGGGTTTTTTTACAGGCTTTTTGGTTTTTCTCAGGTTTTTTTTGGTAAAGTGTAAAGATGTTTTGAATGTCAGCGCTAGGTATACGACTAGGTGTAGCCAGTTTGGGAATGGGCTGGAGAAGGGGAACTATGAGTGAAAGCCAGGAGGGCTAGACAAGGATTTGCAAACAGGAAGAGGGATGAGGAAGGAGGGGAGAAATCCCTATCTCTAAAGCAGGGCATTTGATGGAGGTAAGTATTTCTTGCCAGGTGGAGTGCTAAGGGACTGGTTGACTTGCTAATGAGGGAATTCACACCATGTGGAGGTGTGGAAGTTAATGTGATGCCAGCACTTGCACCCCAAACTAATGTTGTTTGGACTTTTGAGATGGGTCTCACCCTCTGACCCTGATCTGTCAGTGATGCTCTTTTTCAGGGGGCAGAGGTTCTGTGTGGTGGGGACCTGTATGTGCCAGATGACCCGAAGCTGAAGAATGGCTACTACATGCGCCCTTGTGTATTAGGTATGATCCTTCCTATTCATGGTACGGCGGTCTTCTACGTGGATGTTGCCGAGTTTCTTCTAGAGAAAGCTGTGTTCAGCGTAACCTGTCTCTGTGTATGTCCACAGTGTGGACAGGCACTCATATGGGTGTACTAGAGAGAGCTGAGGCACCCAAGAACTGTGTCGAGAGAAATCTCTGCTGTTGGAAGGTCTGACAGGAATTGTGCAGTTAGTGCCTTTGCTGCCTTGAGATGCAGGGTTGGGACTTGCTCCTCTGCTAGCTAAGCCGGGGGGCCTGTGCAGTGCCAAGTGCTGTCTTGAAGGCTGCGTGGGTTGCTGAATGCGCAGGCTGTGCCACTAGCTCTTCCTCCTGAAGCACATGTGCTCTGCCATGCTTCCAGGGAACTGCACAGATGACATGACATGTGTGAAGGAAGAGATCTTTGGGCCTGTCATGTCCATTCTGCCATTTGACACAGAGGAGGAGGTTGTGGAGAGAGCCAACAACACCAAATTTGGCCTGGCAGGTGGTGTCTTCACCAGGTATGACTGCGTAGCATGGCTGGCGTGGAAGTGGTCTAGGGAGAGGAGGAGAAGGGAAATGCTGCAGCTACTTGACAGTCCTCTTGTGGTGCCGGCTTGGGCATGGATATTGTCTTCCAGAAAAGCTGGAGCAAGGGATTGCCAAAAGGGAATTTTGTAAATGACCGCGTGTCTCCTCCCAGGTTTTCCTGAAGGGTTAGGTGGGCCCAGCTGTCCTTCAGACTCCTTCCAGCTTGTGCTTGGCCTGCTGCCTGCCTTCCTGCATCTCCAGGAGACATGCACTAGGAGTCTGCTACGCTGCTGAAAGCGTGCAAAGACAGATGTTGGCTGCTTGCCATAGTCTGCTTTGCTGGTGTCCTTCTTCTGCCCTCTCAAATCCAATGCAGCTTTGAGTGTCCTTGGAAGTAGGTGCTGCATCTTATGAGCAGGCAAAGACAGAGTAGGGCAGGTCAGGCTCCAAGAACCACTGCGACCTGCTGGCCTTTTTGTAGTGGGATGTTAGCTGGCATGGAAGGAGGGGAGGAGTGGGAAGGGATCCAGCTGACTTGCCCTTTTCCTGCAGGGATATCCAGAAGGCTCACAGGGTAGTGGCTGCTCTCAAGGCTGGGATGTGCTTCATTAACAACTACAACATCAGCCCTGTGGAGCTGCCTTTTGGAGGATACAAGGCATCGGGTGAGCTTTGTTGACCTTCCCTGGTATGACTACATGCCAGTTACAGGGGGTATGAGTGGTACCTGGCACTGCCTGGAGCTGTGTTCTCACTTCTGGCATGTCCCTGCAGGATTTGGCAGAGAGAATGGGCGGGCAGCCATCGAGTACTACTCGCAGCTGAAGACTGTCTGCGTGGAGATGGGTGATGTGGAATCTGTGTTTTAGTGGCTCGTGGGCCTGCTCAAGGGATCATCAGCCAGTTCTTTCCTGTCAGCCAGAGATGTGGTTCATTTACACAGCAATAAAGTGCTCTAAAATCGTAAGTGCCTTGGGGGGGAACAGTGCCGGAGCAGTGCTTAGCCACCCTGCTCCTGCAAGGGGAAGTATGCATACAGGGCTCAGCCTGTGGGCCTGCTCTGGCCTAGCTGGTGGAAGATGGGCACCTCAGAGTAGGAGGTTGCAACTTGTGCAGCTATGCAGGCATTACCAGAGGCTCGTCAGTGGCAGAGGGCTGCCTCAGGCTGCTTCCTGTGCTGTGTGCCTTGAACCCCATTGCCTTCCACCCTCAGTCAACTTCGGTTTTGGCTTCTTAACAGGTATGACGCTACTCAATGCACATAGCAGCTCTTGGACACATTGATATCCTGTAGCTATAGGCTCTGTCTATTCTCTGACTATGTAAAAGCCTTAAGGATATGATTGTTTATTCCCTGTAGCCCCTTGTAAACACTAGTTCTGTTTTTTCTATCCGTACTTCACTTCCAGTGTGGGGCAGAGTATTGTGGGAACAGTTAGCGGATGCTGCATGGGACAGGCATGTCCCTGAGACTCATCACCACACACAGGGTATGGAGCACAACCACAGTGGTAGCAAGCTCCAGCATAGGATAGAGTGCTGCCGCTCTTAAGTGAAAGCTGTTTGACTTCCTTCCTATAGGCCTACTGTTCTTTATAAACATGATGGAGCAACTTTAAATGTTTGCCTAGATCTTTTTTCAGCAATCAAATAAATATTAACTCTGGTTTGGAACATCTTATCGTGGAGTGACATGAATTGAGGGGTCCAGAAATAGGGCTGCTGCTGTATGGGTTAAACAGGTTCCAAGATGGCTTTTCGGTCATTAAAATTATAAAAGCTAGAATGTCTCTGCCTGTCGTGCAGACTTCTGTAGTCCTACAAAACCAGAGTCATTCTAGCATTCTATAAAACTTCTTACAAAAACCCTCTAACTTCAGAATGAAAATACAGAATTGACAACTTCATTTTATTAAATGGGGAGAAAAAAAAGCCAGGAAATGAAATGTTCTAAAAGAAAACAAAAATCTCTCTAGTTTCTCAGGTAGCCATCATGATGGTCAGTTACTTCTGGCAGGTCCAACCAAGGTGCTGGCAAGCTGAACACACCCCTGTGCCCATCAGCCCAAGGAGTGCAGCTGAACCAATGGCCCCTCTCCTTCGGTTTTTTGGATCTGGAAAAAAGACATGTTTTATCAGTTCAGCAGCCCATCACTGACAGACTAGCCCAGCCTGAAAATAAAGAGAACAGAAACTACAGATAAATCTCAAGGCAAAACAGCAGGCACCAGCTCAGGCCATGTACCTCTGCTCAGTCTGTGCTATTATTAGACTAGTGCTCCTCTTATCCGTAGGAAAAATGTCCTGCAGAGTTAGCAGCCTGTGGACCTGTACACTCTTCTCTACACCCTGACTGGAAGCTTTATGCCGCCTCCTTGATGTGAGCTGGAGGAAAGAGCCCCGAGGCCATTGTAGGAGTCTGGAGTTTCCAAGCACCTGCTGTGTGCTGCAGGGTAAAGACCTACCTCCTGTGTAGTAGCCATAGGCATAAAGGATTCTTCCAAGGATCCAGGTGATGCCAAGCCCTGTGGCAACCCGCTAGAGAGAAAGGAGAAGCATTAAAGGTTTTGGAGACTTTGCCACTTGCATTGCTTGGCTTTTACAGCAGCCCTGCTTCAAAGAAGTGACCACCAGCTATGGCATAGGTCCTGACCTTGCTAGGACAACTAAGAGTCGGCATAGGGGAGGCGGGTGATTGATGCAGCGCACCAGGGTGAGTTTTGTATAGGAGGAAGCACTTTCATGATGTCTATGAGGAGGAAGGAGGATGTCTGAGGGGCCTTGCTCTTTTGCAGCACAATTCTTCCCAAGGAAGAAATGGTTAAGTTGTACGGGCAGCAGGTGCTGAATCTCATTTCACCACTGTCCACTTAGTGAGGTAGACCAAGGGCCAGGATCTTGGAGGCAGTTCTTGCCCCTAGCCCCACTCCACTGCCTCCAGCAGGTGTACAGGTTTTCTGTTGCAGGTGTTACAAACTTCCACCTTGCCTCTTAATTTAGAGCTTGCTGCAAAGTGGCTCCAGTTTGCCAGATTTGCCTGTGCTGCTCCCTTCCCTCTCTGAAAAGGAATATTCAAGAAGGACCTGATTTGTCTTTTGGTGGCCAAGAAAGAGCTACTGGTTTTGGCCTTTCCCACATGCCTGCCTCTTCATGAGTTGTCTACATCTTTCAGCTAAAAATAATCCAGGCTTTTTTTTTGATCCTTTGCATACCTCTTTTTGTGGTGGAAGTGAGTGGGAAGATCACTGTGTTCCCCATCTATTCTTATCAGATAAACTCCTCATGGAAGTGTGTTTAGAGAGGCAAGAAAAAAAGGGTTGCTGTCCTCCACACAACCAGCTGCTGAGTAGCGCTACTGTAAGTCCAGCAGGACCCTGCAGGGCTTGGAAGAACTAGGCAGGGTTGGAGGGACCCTTCCCACTCATGGACTGGAGACTCTGAATACTTTGGTTTGTCCAACAAGGCACCCTTAGGGGAAGGAAAAGGGTCTAATAGCTGAAGCAGCAGTAATGAGTTTATTAAATACTTGTGATTGCCCTGCACAAGACCTTCTACACCTACATTTTTAGAAGGGGCACAGCTCTGAAGCGTGATGGGGCTAGCAAAGCAGCCTGCTGCCTCCAGAGGGGCTGGCTTGGCCTCCTGCCCCCCACCCTCCCCAAGTAAGGGAGCAAGAGCAGAGTTCAGTCATGCAGACCTGCACCGTAACATCACTTACCGGGTGATACATTCCACCGGTGGCTAAAAAGAACAGGAAGGCGGGGTAAACTTCCAGTCTGAAAATAAAAGTGAGGAGGCTGTGTTTGTGCTCAAGTTGCTTACAAAGAGGAAACTCCAGATGCGCAGAAGCTGTCATCATCCCCTGCCAAGGTCTCTGTTGGGCCTGACTGTTAGGAGTCTCCGTGCTCGATGTTGTGGCCACACACGGAGGAAAGAGGGAATCTGAGTATGCACAGACTTTTAGAGACTTCCTCTCTCCAAGGCCACCTACCCACCCATTCTTTCCATTTTGTGCCCTAAGGCACTACTAAATACTACTTGCCCCCAGCTAACCCAGGAGTAGTTGTTCTTCCCAGCACCCCTCTGATGTGCTGTTGCAGCCTGGTCCGCAGTAGCTGGGTGGAGTTGGGCCTCTCCCCAGGGAGGCCTGGGCAGCACAACAGATCAGCAGCCCCCAGACAGGCTCTTCTGGAAACAAGATTTTTAATGTCTTAAGATCCACCCATGGAGACAAAGAGCCAGGCACTGGGGAAGAGGAAGGCTGCTTCACAGCCCCATCTCATGGTTTAAGGCATTACTGCTAAGTATTACACAGCTGTGTGTTTTCTTCAAGCATTGAGCCTGAACCTAAACCTAGGCACTTGGCAGCAGCGAGTCTCTAGCTGTAGGCCCTGCTCCACAGCCCTGGGTATTTTCAGAGCCTGCATTCATACACATTACTCACGTGTTCTGGTGTGCACGCTGGATGCAGTTGAATATACGCCCGTGTTCAGGGTCCGTGCTGTACATGGTTGGATACTGCCAAAGAAAATAAACCGGCAGCGAAACATGAGCAAGCGCAGTCTGGGCTCAGCAGCCTGTTCTCCAGCAAGGAGGAGCGTGTCCTGCAACACCTCTCCCCAGGGAGGCCGCTGCTGCCTGGGTCCTGGCAAGACTGACTTGCATTGGCAAGTTAGAGCCTGTCTCCTGCCCTGTAGCCCACAAATGCTTTGCTGAAATTGCTGCTTGCCCCAGGCCAGTTCCTGAACTCCCTGAGCAAGCCAACTGTCCCCTGGAGCTGGCCCTGCATCGAACAGAAGATAGCCAGGCACTGGGTGACCTCCTTGTTTAAATCCCATCTCTGGAGGGGAGAGCAAAGCAGCATTACTGAGGACAGGTCCCCATGTCTTCTCTGGGGAGCTGGCAGCAGCCCATCACCCAAAATCAGGCTGGCAGGACACTGCCTTCCTGACCACTGCAGAGCTGAGCAGCCAGCCCGAGCTGCCACTTGGCTCCAGGGGCTTCCCTGAGCCCCAAATCCAGTGCTCTGTGCACCATACGCACTGGGTACGTTTGCTATAATCCTGACTTCATGCAGTAGGGGTCGGGTCACCCCAACAGGCACTTGGGGCCTGCAGCACATGCCCAGGGCTGTCCTTGCACCCACCTCTGCTTGTCACTTCCTCGAATGACTTGGGGAAAGGGCAAAGGAGCGTTTGTGCTTGGAGCCAAGTGGCACAGCAGCCTCTGCGTGCCATCGCCCTGACTCAGGGACAGGACTGACTGCGCTGGCCCAGCCCACAGCCGTGCCCAGCTCAAGGGCTCCTCAATGGATGCTGAGGGAAGGTCACTTTGAAAGACTTCTTGTGATAGGGATCACATGCTCCCCCTGAGTTTGCAAAACCCTCCTGTCACTTTGATTCCACTACAATCCCTTTGCCCCAACGCTGCACCAGCCTTCTTTGCAGGGAAAAAGGGCTGTGTGGTTTCTTGCTCATCAGAGTTTCCAAGCTCAAAGCTTTGTGCTTTCAGCTGTCTCGGCTTGGTGCCAAGCGCCTGATGTCCTAAACCCCAAGCTCTGTTCTGCCATCTGCTCCAGTCTGGAAAGCCAGAATGGCAGGACCATCCCTTCTGCATCCACGTGGTGGGGCAGGAAACAACAGCAAATCACCCCAAAATAAGCAAGGTGTCACGGTGTTTGTCTGCAACATCCCCTGCAGACCGGCTCCGACCTTCCTGTTCCTTCAGCCTGAGCACTCACCTCCACGTTGTACTTCTTGCGGGCCTTGGCCACTTTCACCGCGAGGTGCATGACCAAGACGAAGCTGGCAGCCCCTGTCAGGATGACATAGCCGTACTCCTTTGAAAGAACAGCCATCTTGGTGCTGTCAGAGAAAGAGAGCCCGTTACTATTTTGAGGTGTGACTGGAGAAGTGGCAGCTCACTACCTGCAGGTATCTGTGTGTGGAAGAATTGCTGAGCATGGACCCACGACCTCCTAGCACGGGGACTGGCTGAAGGAGGAGAGAAATGGTGAATTGGGGAATTTTCACCTCTTGGTGCCTGCTGGGTATTGAGCAGCAC